TGCACTAGTTCATCGCAGGCTTGTATGCATGATTGACGGATATGAAACACAATATACTGTAGTGCCCATAGTGTATCCCACCTATACGGATAAACGTAATTTGCTTGCATTAACTTTATTAAAAGAATACCTTTTTATTTCAGCTCTTTTCCAAGCAGTGCCGTTGGCTAATTTAGGTACTCGCTCAGCAAATGTAACCATTTCATGCATCAGTTCACTACAAATAAAGTCTTATGCAGTTCAACGTTATGAAGTCTTAGGGTTTTTTGGTTTCAACACTATGCATTTAAGAGAATTACTATATCCATATAAATGTAAAACTACAGTATAACGAAAGAACAACTTCTTTTCATGGCAAACGAAGTAGTATAACTCACTCACAGGGTTCCCCAACTTCGTAATAGAATTTGGAGTAGGAGACTTTTTGAAAGAAGTAGGCGGTATTTAGCGCCAGAGTTACAGTACCACTCATCTAGGGATGGGAGTGGACCTTCACATAATGCATGAAGATTTTGAAATTTAGACACTTTGAAATGGCATTTCTAGTCATTTTGAACACTAGTTTTCGAAATTTCATATCCAAATATTTAACAAAGAATATCGTGTAAAATGTGTGGTTTGAAAGCGACAAACGCTTCCCTTGACATTACTAATTAAGGTGAGTAGGAAATATTTTGGCTTATAATTTCGAGAAATAACTAGCGATTGTCTAGGTTATAAACGGCGAAAATCGCATGGGTGCCAGCTTCTATTTGGAACCCTGATAACTCATGGAGTAAGCATGTTCAAATGGGACCATTTTAATGAAATAATGTCTATAAAGAATAAAGAATGAAGAAATATGTTCAACAGGTGTATACCATGTAAGATGAAAGTATTACCTTCCCATTTGAAGCGTAGGTTCTGTTGCGTAGATTGTACCAGAAAAGTTCGTATGCTAGAAGATATCATAACACAGCAAAATAGAAACGAATGCAACTCGCAAGTGAAGAAATACATGCGCAAGTGAAGAAATACATGCACAATCCACAATATACACGTCACAAATCTTCGGTAGTATTACATGCAAAAATATTATACCTCTGTGATGTATGGCAGTGCGAACATAAAAAAACAATTTGATATCAGTATCACATCCACAGTGGACATATCTAGCAAATCAACCTGGAAAAAGCAGAATACTTCCCAAAATGTGGATATGAACTAGGATGTGTGCAATCAAACTTTAAGCCTGGTTCACACTAGCAATTCTGCATGTCGGCGATTTTTCTCCTCCTGCATGGCAAATGTGATCAAATGAATGACATGCAGAAGACTTATAGAATTGACACTCGACACTTTTGCGTGCGAGTTCACTCATTTGCATCCATCAGAAACACAAAATCACCGACAAAATTGCTAGTCAGTGAACCAGGCTTTATCCCGTGGACTGCGTAAGAAACTTATTCAGTTTCACGAGTGTGCTTGATCCAAGTATATTTGAACATAGTTTCAAGGACTATCATTCAACAAGAATAAAAGAATGGATGGCTAATTTTTTCATGAACTAGTATTATAATGTCTATGCAGTGGTGTAGCTAGCCTACGGTGTAGACCCCAGCAGAAACCTGGGGTATACACCGTAGGCTATGGTGTCGCCGAAGGGCATAGGATTGCTGCGCCATTGGCGCGCTCGTGTTTGGAATCTATGTCTGTGTCACCTCCAAACGTCAACCACCCCGGCTAAGTGTAAGTATGAGCGTTTTTTTTTAGTAGAATTTATACATGCAAAGAAAGGCTGAAAAGATCTTGCGTGTCAGTATGATGGTTCTAAATATCAGAAAATATCTACCCGTACCTCGGGAGGCAGAACTTCCGGCTCACTATCCACAAACACATTCCCTGCAATATCAATTATATTCTACAGAAAACAAAATTCGCAAATTAGTCAGAAATACACCAGTTTCCTTTGTTGAAGAAACACGGAGGAATACATTTTCTTCCAATCGTAATTACAAAAAGTTGACAATGTTAGTATATATTTAAGTATCACATTACATTTTCATCTGCAAATCCCTCGATATCTTGCAGTTCTCTAGCAAACCAAGGCTTGCCAAAACTTTGACTTTGTTTCCTGTCGAAAACGTGTAATATGTAATTTTTCAGATAGTGCGAGTTATATAGAAGTATAAAAAAGCCCAAGCGAGGGGTAAGGATAATTATCTTGCACTTGGGAGAGTTGCGAGTTAGATACCAAATGCTTGATTCAGTTTACATGTACATTCCACGTAAATTACAGGGCGAGGTTGCGTAAAAAGAGAGGCTCTATCTGCCTCGTCCCCAGTCGCTTTATTAAATTCGCGGGGAGGAGGATAAAGGGAGACATTGGAGGATAGAGTTTTGATTGAGGGGCGAAGGCAACAGATTTGTTCAGCCACTGATCTATATATTAAACTGATATGTCTATATATACACTGATCTATAAATAGTAAGGGCCTGCGGAGGAGGCAGGAGGCTCTATGAAGAGATGGTGACAGGATGACAGCGGAATTCTACTCATTAAAACCGGAGGAAGGAACGTGCCAATGAAGATTCACAGCCCTCATTTTTAATATTCTTTTAAGTATTTTAGACCTTATAAGTATGAAAATCTTTAAGTATGAGGTTGAAAAGAGTAGAACGTAAACATTCGGTTCATGCAAACCCACTTCATATTTTCGCCATTCCTGAAATCGTTGTTCATTTCTTCACCAAGCTTCACCAACAGTCGGGAGACTTTTGAAAGAAACATTGTCTTTCGACATAAACCATTCAGGACACAAACCTTTCCAAATCTGCACCTTGATGGATTTGTTGATAAGTTTTGTTTACTGATGTGCTGGGCGAGAATCGAAATTAATTCCAGATAGCTTAATGTGAAGCATACTCGAGAGGTGGCGGGTGGGAACTGGCCTGCGTGAACTTGCTAGACTTGCTACAAGTCGAAGAACTTTGCGAAAGTCTAGAACTTGCCTGCACGCATCAATGCCCTCACCACAAATGAATATACACCCAACTGAGAATTAAATTTCACGAGTTCAGCTAATCTAACGTCGGTCTTTCTCGATCACTTCCCATTTGCCAGATAAACCGACCATTAGCCAACTAATCAAAACCTCCCACTCCGTTGAACCATAGACAACCCAGAAGACAGGGACAGGAAACGTTCAAGCGCTAATGTTGTTGATGTACCATCCATGATACGCTTTTATCACGTCAGAATTATCAGTTGCCACGGCAACCAGCCTTAATCAGAACCAAAAAAGATGTGAGTCGTGCTTTCTTTTTCCCCAATTTTTTATTACTTGTATGCCCAAAATATGGGGATTGTCTTCAGGATTGTCTATGGTTGAACATACCAAACAGGGTTCAAGTCACAAATGATCTTTTTTAAAGTCCCCACTTGCAAGATTGGATAACTTCGCCCTAACCTTGGACCACCACCACAGCCTCAATTTTCAATCTGAGTATCCAACATAGCATTACTTCATCATATGGAGCTTCTCTTCTTATACACAATTTGGATGCAAAACTTTAAACGCTTGCCAAAATAAAGCGCAACTGTTCTCGTCGAAATAAAGCGCAACTGTTCGTAACTGGTTTCAATTTTGGTCGTAATGTCCTGACCACGTCAAGTTTGACGATGTTCCAAAGGTTTCAGGTTATTAAAGGGTTTAATGGCGACCGTTACGGTACAAATAAATGAAAACCAGAATTTAAGATTCAAAATTATTATTTTTTCAAGAATTATATTATGATATAATCAAGTCAATGAATTAGGTACCGGGTGGCCCAAAAAAAAGTACTCCTGTTTGATTCGTAATAACTTCTAAACAAGTAAAGTTTTTAAAGAGAAATAACTTGCATTAAATAGAGGAAGGACTAACTTAGATTTTGATATATTACAGTTGTATTTAACTTAAAAATTCACGGATATATTAATGTTAAAAATGGGGAGCATATTTTGGAATGTGTCTAAAATTAGCGAAAATCTGCACATCCAATATTAACTCCAGCGTTTGTTTGCTTAATGACATATTAGGCTAACTTGTATTTCAGCGAATTATCGTTAAGGTTTGTAAGGGATATGGCGTAGATTTAGACATCTTACATGTAAGTCTTAGCTCATTGTTTCCTGAAATATGAACCTTAAATTTTTCGTATTCTTAAATAGCCTAATTTTTTTATGTTTTTAATGGGTTCAAACAGACTGAGTAGATTATTTCTCGGTTAAAGCAGGATGAATATTCTTTATTGAAGCAAATAATATTGCTTTTTGCAAATACACATCACCGTATCAACGCTACTATTTTGTTACGTTTTGTTCCAAAAATGTTGCATGTCTCTGGGGAGTTGCTTAATTGTTATGTCTTATGGAGTTGTATGGTTTGATTGTGTTTCATATAATTCTCAGTTTACTCCATGAACTTGCCAAGATTAAGAAACGGCAAAAGAGTTTGGGTGTTCTTAACAAGATTTCAGAACGTTGCAGAAGTTAGAAGAGCTTCACAATTCCGTTGTGACAGCATGCCCTAATTCAGAACTACGAACGATCCAATGACGATCCTTCGCGATGCAGTGGTCTCATGAAATAAGGAAACGTATTCGTGCTAGGAACACACGCGAATTTCGGACGAATGAATCTTGCTTGTATTTTGTAGATATAATAATACTTTGTTTCATAATAAACAATTTGTCAAGTGTCATTTATTTACTGGTAATAGTGCATGTTTCAGTCGGGCAAATCTTGATTAATATTTGATACGCCGATTTTTGCATATTTCAGACACATCCAGAAACATCCTCCCGAATTTAAAGATTAATATCTCCGTGAATTTTTAAGTGAAATACAACTGTAATATATCAAAGTCTAAGTTAGTCCTTCCTCTATTTGATGCAAGTTATTTCTCTTTAAAAGCTATACTGGTTTAGATGTTATTACGAATCAAACAGGAGTACTTTTTTTTGGGCCACCCGGTAGCATGTAAAATACGGCGGAAATTCACTATATCCGGTGGTTGGACAAAACCTCTGAAATTTCGGACAAACACCCATTTAAACTCAATTTCCAGGCTGTTTTGGCATTTTCGGGTTTCACCATGTAACCATACAAGTTAATTGATCGTATTTTTCTCATGCAAGATCAAACTTTTCCAAGAATTTGCCATGAAACACAGCTACATTAAAAATCTTTAAACACTTCAACTCTGCAAGACTGTCGACAAGGATCACCAACTTCGTTACGAGAAAAAAAAATTGCTTCGTTTGTGTTACGAGACGGTGTAGCTCTAACCAACCGTTGTCCATACTCTAACGTGTCGAGGAAGTAGTGTACAGTACGCAAAAGTGGCGGTTTTAAGGCAGGTGATTTTTTCTTAAGCTTGACCTAACGCTTGTATTCTTCCATTGCTCTCTCGTGCATCTTTGATCATCGTCAGTCAGGTTGAATTGCGGCCTTCAATCAACTGACGAGTAGTGCAGTAATGTAGCTTCTTTACTAAGAATCTCCCGAAGGAAGAGTTCGAGAAGAGTTGACAAGGGTAGGCTGGGGTGTCAAATGCAAGTTGTAGCATTACAACTCTGGCAATGCAGTATAATCAAGGATTCAATGAGCAGTAAAAGACATTAGCTTGCCGCTAAAATTTATCCTGTGGGACATCGCATAAAGTATCTATTTCATACTATACATACTTATTTCAGTCTGTCTTGCAAATTCAACAATTTACAAAATTTGACAATTTACACAATTTTTGTGCACAAAATTTGTTATAGTTTCCAGCATGCACATTGCAACAATATGAGACATGTTTTTTCTATTGTCTTACCTCACTAACATGTACTGTATAAGACCAATGTTGTTGAATCTGTTCGTGTTCTACCAAACAGTCACTTTATGGGGAGTGAGAGTCACTTTATGGGGAGATTCCAAACAGTCACTTTATGGGGAGATTCCTTGTGGAATACACTTGCTATTGCCACACAGTTGCAATACATCACCAAAACAGAAGAATATGCCTCTATAATTATTGCCTGATCTAGCTTCCACCAATTATTTAGTCAAATGAATTAAACTAGCAACTGTAGCAGCTATGAGGTCAAATAAGCAAGTAGTAGTACTGTTATTTTGTCTGCTGAAACCTTGCAAAGGTAGGACAAGTTTACAGGTACTTTCAATTGTTTCTTTTTTTCCCCAATACTGTCACTATAAATTTTCAGCATGCTTCTAGGATTGGTTGCCATTCTATGCTTTAACCTGTGCCCATGCTTGATCTTTTGTGCATCCACCTTGCCAGTAGTCTCCTACGCAGCCTGTTCGCGGGTCCGAGGTTTTCAGGAGACTAGCTTGCCAGCTGTGTTTTTTGTTGTGCACGCAGAAGATCTTCCCATTTTTCCGCATGCATTTATTATTTCAAAAGCTAAATTATATGTAAATCCCCTTCAAAATCTCTGGTACATAGCTGCCAAGGTGGAGTGATCTGCATGCGTGAGACGCCATCCACAGACGCAATCTAATCCCCCCTGGAAAATTTTAAAAATTTGGGTCTTGGATATGGAATTTCCAGCATTTCATTCCCAAGACACGATTTATTCACGATTGCTGCACCTTGGATACTGTAATCAGATAGCATTTACGCACCGGAAATAGGCTCAATTTATGGCATCAAATGAGGTGTTGACAGCAAATTCACACTGATACTAAACACCTACCCACTCTAATGCATTCACCAGATTAATTTACTGACTAATTTCATAGTGTAAAATACAAAAACTAAACGCTAAAACAGTTCACAGGTTTGCAAAGTTTACATTGCTCTCCAGATTTACGTTTTTTTTATTAAACTCTTCAATCACAAGCAGCCAAAGCAGCTCATGCGTGAGATAAATAATACTGCGCGTGTGAGAAAATATGCTGAGGCGTGTGTCACACCACGATTAACCGTGGTCACACACATAATGCCTGAGACTTGGTAGGTATGCTGGTACACAATTTCCACACTTTAGGACAATGAAAATTGATATCATGTTTCTCGTCCACAATTTTCAAAAATTTGGAGCGGGATTTTTTCATTATTTTTTGTATTTGAATTCTGCTTGTCAATAATTTCCTTGACCCATAAAAACGGCTGAAGTAAATCGGTGTATAATTCATTTTAATTTAATAGTATACGTCCTACTCTACAGTATATTTCTACGCATACCAGGGCTGACATGAAAAATAGAGGCATTCTGGCGAGTAATGTCTTTAGAAAGATACAATTTGAGTTGCGCTTGCGGAATGCAGCAATAAGACTTTGATCTGGAGATCAATTTGGTGTTTTGTTAAGGCCCATTTACACGATACGATTAGTTGTATACGATTGTCATTCTGACGAATGAAAACGAGTGCTAATGCCACGTTACTGCTCATTCGCTGATGGCGAAATTTGAAATGTGACGTTTGTACGAGTGTTTATTCGATCACATACGCCAGAGTAAGAATCGTATACAACTAATCGCATCGTGTAAATGGGCCTTGAGAGTTGAGAAGCGAGAGTTTGTATGAGAGTTTTCTCAACTCTCATGCCCCGGTCAAACGAGAACAAGAGTTGCATAAGAATTGGATCTTACCAATCGAATGAGCGAAAACTCTTTCATCAAAATTTGACCAGCTCAAAGACAACGTTGATGAGAGTGTACGAGAGTCGATGAGATCATCTGGCGGTCAAAGCGAGCGACTCTCATGCAACTCTCGTTTGATCGGGGATTTAGAAC